GGACTAGACCAGGGGTCTCAAACTCAAATCATGCGAGGGCCGCAGGAGGTAGAATCTGATTAAGACTGGGCCGCATGAAGTATTCCACAAAAAAGCGATTACAAATTCATTAAAGTACAACTGTTACAATCTGCTCAACCTTTATAAATAACAAATAAAAACATTAAGGGTTCTCAAGAACTAGGCTTCACTTTCTTACTCAGACTCATTGTTGCCAGAGACCTGGCAGCACTTCTTTTTACACAGCTGAGAAACATTTGGCTTCAGTGTGGAAGCAACTGAGACCCTCAGTAAAGCTTGAAGATGCTCATCAGTAAGTTTGGCCCTGAACTTTGACTTATTAAAGTTCATAGTGGAAAAGAGCTTTTCACACATATAGGTACTCCCCCCAAAAAAACGGCATACAAAATCCCCTTGAACAACCTGGAAATATCAAGGAAGGTGGGGGGCAAAGCTCTCATAAATTGTCCATGCTTTTCTGTTTTTCCATTCACATCCCTGAACTTAGAATTGCACTGAATATCAACCAACTCTGTTCCATTTAAAGCGTAAAGAGAGAAAAAAGGGGGGTGGGGCATCTTGCACTTTAAAGGAGAAAGGGTCAGCTAAAAGCTGAAAAGTGGCTGTGTGTGTTTTGAAGTCTAAAAACATGTTATCAAATTCTTTCTGTAGCTTTGCAATGACATCTACTAAGTTAGACTCTACAACTGAATGGTGTGCCCGAGTCCATGAGTACTTTGCATGTTGGGAAATGAAAGAGTTTTCTCTAAGAACCATTACACAAGTTTTGTGCAGAATGCAGGGTTCCTGCACCAAATCTAAAAACAAATTCCAGGAGTTTTCCAGGAGTTTTCCAGGAGAAAATACAAAATTCCAGGACATTTTTTAAAGAGTAAAAAACGGAGAGACCCTATACGCTCATACAATTTTTTTGTAGTAACAGGACATAAATGCACTTATATAGTACCGGTACTTACTCTAAGGATTGCCAATGCCATAGCAATTATTTGAATTAGGTATGTACTGGTATAGATATTCTGGCCCCGAGTTCACATACAATTGAGTAACTTGGTTTTTTATAAGAATAAGATTTACTTGATGTTGGATAACAAACAACTCATAAAGTTATAAGATAATCCATTTTATTCACAAGTAAGTCATATTTATTTCCTAAGATACACATAACCTAGGAGCTTGACTAGGAAGTTGCAAAAGTGGACACCCGAGGTAGGTGAAAAAACTGAAGTTGAACTAGAGGAAGACTCAGATGATTGTTGTTTATCCTTGTTGATCATTTTCCCCTAATTTTCATGGCATCCGAGAACTGTCCTGCAAATATACTTCATATATTTACAGTATTTTTGTTTTGTCCTGTACACATAAAGATCCCTAAGACTGGAGCAGTAGCCTTGACGTGAGCTGTATTTTGTTGAAATTTAGGGAGAGTTGCTCAATTCGCCAGAGCCACTCTCTCGTCGTTGCCTATTTGATTCAATGGTAAGATTAGTCAAGACGACTGGATATAGATCAGGATGCAGTAGATTACCAGATTGAGTGTGTGTGTGTTTCACTATGCTCTTTATGCTTTCTACGTCATAGGATTTTGTCAGAATTTTCATTGAGTCAATGTCATAACGTCTACGGGTCTCCATCTCCGGGTTTGATTTCATAGTTTTCCTTCTCCAAGTTGAGTTGCCATTCAAAGTTAACGAGTTCCATCTACCCGGCATGCTGGTGATGTTTTTGCTTGTCTAGGCATTTTCTGGGGATAGAACTCCAGTACACTAGCCACTAGCTTGGGATTGACTCAGTTCAGAGTCAATATCTAGTATAGAGTAGCAGTGATGGCTTGTTCAATCAGGATTGCTATCTTAATTATCAGTCCTCAAAGGAACCGTTGGGCATTTATTTACCCTAGACCTTGAATAGTGAAATAAAATAGAATTAATTTATTATCATATTAGGTCTATAATATTGACTATATTATAAGTTATACCGGTACTAAATTAATAATAATACAGAGTCAGAAGAGAAACTAATATAGGCATATGCCTATGTAACTGCTTAGTCCGGATTTTAAACAGGGGAATGGGTCAGCGACCAAGCAACCACTTTTTTTTTTTCAATTTCGGAAGTCTCCCCCCCTTCCCCTCCCAACTGTGCTTATAATACCGCAAAGTAGGCCTATACCTAGAGCACAGGTGTGCATTACTTAATTTTTAACTACGTGTATAAATAAGGACTAACTATGTAAAGTTATGTGAAGCTCAATGGTTGCATCAGCTAGTTTTAATAACTTTAAAATGAAGTTCCGAAGTAATTTTTGACGTCATCGTAAACTATGCTTCAACATGCAAAAATAACATAACTTAATTTTTTTATTTAGTATTCTCCTATTTAGAAGGCCTAACTAAACTTAACTTACAAAAAGGCCTAGCACTCACGATAAACTATGTTTAAAAAAATATGTGTAAATATAATTGTTATAAAAAAAGGCCTACAACTTACTACCTTTTGTTAATATGTATAAATAAAAATCAAATTCATCTTCTTTGCAAACTGTAACAGCCGCGAGCAACACCATACTCGCGAAAACGCCGTATAATATAATGGTCAAAACTGATACTTTTCAAACTCGTGTTAAAGACATAAAAGTAAGATAATTCGTCAGATAAAGACTTAAACTTTATTCACATATTCATATCAATTGTACTCCTTTAAAACTACTATATAAGTAGGTCAAGGTTAATTTTTGTTTTTGAAAACTTCGGAAAATGACCCCAAAACTAAAACTACGCATTCTCCAGTTTGGACAACCTACGGTAAAACTAACAAAACTTCAACTTTAAAAAAAAAATAGGCTAAGCTTAGTCAAATTATACAGCGATTGGGCGCGTAGTTTTCTATTCATAATACTAATAATAGTTACCAAAAATTTAAATAACTACAGATAAATATCTATTTACTGTATTTTACACTATACTTACCAAATAAATTAGTTGAACGGAACGAAAAAAAACTTCTTGTCTATCAAAGCATTACGGTACGACATTTCATATCCAAAACTCGTAAAGCGCATGCGCAGTTAAGGGGAAACCACTAGAATTAATATGGGAAACTCGTTTTGATAAATGAATGGCTAAAAATAGACTACGAATTGAATATAGCGATAATATTAATTTATAAAATAACTATTGCGAACAAGATTTTTTTTACCCCTCCCTCTGTGGAAACAAAAATTTCAGGTCATTTTAGGAGAAATTTTAAAATTTAAGGAGTTTTCCAGGATTTTATCATTTGTTTTCAAATTCCAGGAGATTTCCAGGAGCTCCTGGAATTTCAGGAGGCCGCGGGAACCCTGAGAATGCCATGACATTGTCATAGGCAACACTGACAAGCTACCCCTAGTCTGGTAACGTCTGGTTGAGTACATTCAGCTCCTGTATAATTTCAACAACAAAAGCCAAGTCCATGAGCCATTTGGGATCACTTAGTACAGGAACAACCACCTCATCCTTCCCCATGATGGCTTTCAAGGCTAAAACGTGTTCAGACAGTAGGCAGGAGAAGGCAATATTTATGAATTATTGATGCGATGGGAGAAGCTATTGTGGGGAGAATGAATTTTTATTTTTTATAGTAGAAAAGGCCTTTTTGACTAGCCTTATTTTGTCAATTTTGAAAGTGACAAAGCTGAAAGTCTTGGAATTTCCCCTCACTCGTAAACACTAGCGGCAATTTAAATAGGGATTCTTTGATACTTTGTCAGATTGCTACGATTTACACAATTATGGTTGTGCATTATCCACCAACTGACTTTTTAAACCTTTCTCAAAACCACACTTTGGCCATGTTTGTCTCATAAAATGCTATAAAATAAAAACTTTTAGTCCAATTTTAAAACAGTTTTTACCATTATAATCAACGTCCAAATCTATCGAAACATAATAAAAATCAGAATTAGACTAGTCGGTGAGATTCGACTGAAACTTTCGCGGAAGGTCACATTATAGATATGAGAATGGGGACAACGGGCAGGCCCCAATAACACTGAACTTTGCTGTAATGCAATGGGCTGCAAAATATCGTCTTGCGGGCCTTAAATTTTACTTAGACTTAATTTTAATGATGAAAGTTGCCTTGTAAAAAATATTCACCAAGGATTTTCGCAAAGTTGACTGATTTTAAATGAAAAAGAAATTTTTAAGATGTAGGCCAAGATGTCCTCTGAAGCGAAAGGCCGGAAGAGGAACACAATTCTGGGATATAGTAATTATTTTATGAATGAAATGGTACCAACATCAAAAAAATTAAAAACTCAGATTTTTGCGCGCCATGCCCATTTCCCATACAATTTTTTTAGTAGTCTCCCTTGCTTTATCGAAGTATATACTATACTATACTACCATTGCCTATTATTACTATTCAATTACTGACAACGAAATGACACTTTCTCTAGCCTTTCTTAACTTTCTATTTCAGCTGTGATCATGACTAGGCATATTCAATTATATAATAGTGGGGAAGGAATAAGACCTAATCAAATTAACATAAAAATTTAAGTGAAGTCAATTTGTTGTGAATTTAGTAAGACTGAATTAAGTCAATTAGTATTAGTATTAGTGAAGTCCTAGTGTCAGTGTCGGCTCAGTGTGAGTAACGACCAGAATACTGAGAATAGCCAGTGATTCGAGTGAACAGTACTGCGAATAAGAAATTTAATAAACCACTTATGAGTAAAGTGTAGAGTGTTGATCATTCATTTGATAAATATGGTTTAGCAACATCATTTCAATGAGCTGTATTTATCCATACTGAAATGTTGGGACAGGTTTTAATTTTACCTGGAAGAACCCTGCCAACGGCATCTTCTTGAACAGTGATTCCAGAAAACTACTTCCGCCGATATGCGGAAATGGTAATTTGAGTTTGCGCAGAGGTAAATTGTAACTCGTTTGTGACAAAAGATGAGGAATGTTGTAAATTGCGGGTACTAAGGTAAACTACTAGGGTTGCGGGTTGAGTCGACTTTTCAATCCACTTACATTTACTTAGTCATTTATAAAAAAAAATAAGACATGTAAGGGTTTGCTATTTTATAATTAATTTAGAATACATTATTGTATAAATAATAAAATATTTAAACTCGTACTTGTTGCCCCTTTGACTGGAATATGCGATCTTTCTTCATGTCTAGTTGAGTTGAGCCTTCTCGTCCATGAGGGGCATCCACCGGTCATCGTCGGCGTCTGCGGTTCCTCCAAGGGCATAGGGCACCTACGAGAGACCTCCAGGCATCTCTATCCTGGGCCAGCTTCTCCAGGATCTTCCATTCATGGCCAATTTTCTTGATGTCTGTCTCCAATTCTCGGCGCCAAGTGTTTCTTGAACGGCCTCTTTTCTGCTTACCCTGTGGGTTCCATTTCAGGGCTTGCTTTGTTGTGTTAGAAGCAGGTTTTCTTAGTGTATGACCAATCCACCTCCACCGCTTCTGGAGAATCTCTTCCTCAATGGGCTTCTGTTTTGTCCGCTGCCACAGTTCCTGGTTGCTGATTTTGTCTGGCCAGTGAATTCTGAGAATCCTTCTTAGACAGTTGTTGATGAAGGACTGGATTCTGGTCAGGTTTACGGCCGTTGTTCTCCATGTCTCGGCTCCATATAGCAGCACAGGTTTTACCATAGCGTTAAAAATCCTTACTTTTAACTTGCTGCCTAAGTTGTTAGAGACCCAAACATTCTTGAGTTGTTGGAAGGCTGCTCTTGCTTTTCCTATCCTTATTTTGACGTCCGCATCTGTACCACCTTGTTTATCTACCATGCTGCCAAGGTAAACAAAACTGTCCACCTCCTCAAGGGCTTCTCCTTCAAGCATAATGGGTGATGTACTGGTGGCATTAACCTTGAGGATTTTACTCTTCCCTTTGTGAATGTTGAGACCCATGCTAGCAGAAGTGGCTGCGACAATGTTTGTTTTCTCCTGCATCTGTTGTTGGGTATGTGCAAGAAGTGCAAGATCATCAGCAAAGTCAAGATCATCCAGTTGATCCCACAAGGTCCATTGGATGCCATTTCTTTTCTGCTGTGTAGATGTTTTCATCACCCAGTCAATGGCTAACAGGAAGAGGAATGGTGACAGCAAGCAACCTTGTCTCACACCAGTCTTCACCTGGAAAGCATCTGTCAACTGCTGGCCATGGATAACTCGGCAGTTTATCCCTTCGTACATGTTTCTGATTATATCAGTAATCTTCTGTGGCACCCCGTAATGCCTTAGCAATCTCCACAGGGTTTGCCTGTCAACACTGTCGAAGGCTTTTTCATAGTCAACAAAGTTGACATAGAGCGGCGAGTTCCACTCTAGTGACTGCTCTAGAATGATGCGCAGTGTCGCTATCTGGTCCGTGCAGGATCTGTTGGTGCGAAAGCCGGCTTGTTCGTCCCGCAACAGAGGGTCTACAGCGTTTTTCATCCTGTTAAGTAGTACACGGTTGAAAACCTTTCCTGGGATGGACAGCAGGGTGATCCCTCTGTAGTTCGAGCAGGAGCTTAAGTCTCCCTTCTTTGGGATCTTGATAAGGTATCCCTCTTTCCAATCGGAAGGAACTTGCTCCTCTTCCCATATCTTCATAAACAGAGGGTGTAGCATTTCCACACTGGTTTCCAGGTCCGCCTTCAGTGCCTCTGCTGGGATGCCATCAGGTCCCGCAGCCTTTCCATTTCTGAGTTGTTTAATGGCCCTGCTAATCTCTTCTTTGGTGGGACTATTACAGTCAATTAGCAGGTCATTATCGGCTGGTTGGATATCTGGTGGATTTCTTGGTTCAGGCCTGTTCAGGAGCTCTTCAAAGTGCTCCTTCCATCTCCCTCTCTGTTGCTCCTCACTTGGTATGGTGTTTCCCATTTTGTCCTTCACTGGTCTCTCTACCTTGCTAAATTTCCCTGACAGCGTCTTAATGGTATCAAACAGTTCCCTCATGTTCCCCTGGTGAGCTGCATCCTCTGCTTCTTTAGCAAGTTTATCAACAAATTCCTTCTTGTCCCTCTTGATGCTTTTCTTAACTTTCTTATTTGCATCTGCATACTCCTTCTGGGACTTGTTTTTCTGTGCTCGGGTGCAGCTGTTATTCACTTCTGATTTCTTTCTTTTCCTTTCTTCTATTTTATTCAGCGTACCTGCTGTCATCCATTCTTTGTGTGCCTTTTTCCTGTTTCCTAGCACTTCTTGACATGTTGACTGGACTGTTTCTTTCATGCTTTGCCACTTTCCTTCGGTGGTTTCATCTTCAAGTATTTCTTGTAGGACTTGGAACTTATTGAATAGTGAGATTCTGAATTCTTCCTTTTTGGCTTGGTCCTTCAGGAGGGAGGTATTATACCGAGTCCTGTATGCTGTTTGCTCGGTATAATGTCTCTTTAGTTTTAATTTCATCCTGGCCACAAGAAGATGATGATCTGAGGCAATATCAGCTCCCCTCTTAACACGTACGTCTTGGAGAGATCGCCTGAATTTTTTACAAATACATACATGGTCTATTTGGTTCATCGTTCTCATGTCCGGAGAGACCCATGTAGCTTTGTGAATCCTCTTGTGCTGGAAAATGCTCCCCCCTATGACCAGGTCAGCTGTGGCACATAGGTCCGCAAACCTCTCACCATTGTCGTTCATCTCGCCTATCCCTTGCTGTCCCATAACCTCTTCGTACCCTGTGTTGCTATTGCCGATCTTGGCATTAAAGTCTCCCATGAGGATGACGATGTTCCTCCGTGGGCGACCCTGGACTATGGTCGTTACTCTATTGTAGAATTCTTCTTTGTCTCCTTCATCACTTTCATTAGTTGGTGCGTAGCATTGTATAACATCTAGGTTGATGCTACGTTTCTTTGTTCGAAAGGTCACTAAAAGAATTCTAGGTCCATGGGCCTCCCAGCCAATGAGTGCTCCTTGTGCTGCCCTTGATAGCATCATAGCAACACCCAGGGTATGTGAGGCATTGTCTTCTTCGTGTCCCGAAAATATCACCATCTCTCCTGAGATTAATCTCTTCTGTCCCCATCCAGTCCATCTTGCTTCACTAATCCCGAGAATGGTGAGCTTATAGCTCCTCATCTCAGCGGCTATTTGTGCCGCTTTACCAGCCTCGTACATGGTGCGGACATTCCAAGCGCCAATGACGGTGGTAGTCCTGGTAGAGATGATGGTTGTCAGCCTAATAGCTTCCAGGTTTCGGCTTTCACTATTAGGCGTCATATTTTCCTCCTCAAGGAATCCATCCTCTCCCAGGACTGAAATGTCTTTTGTTACTCTTTTCGGTGCTTTTGTAACTATGATTTTTCCTTGCGCACAACCACTTGGGGGGTTGCCCCTCACAGCTCAATGGGTAGCTGCCTTTGTTCGGGTTAGGTCCCTAGCCTTTGTGGATCCCTCCACTTCCTACAAGGCAGTAGGGCTGATTTTGGTCCACCCCGGGTATTTTATTTCCCCGGTACCCTCCATATCTGGCGGGCTTTCCCCTATCCGCCGGATGGGGAGGCGCTCGATAGAAGATCAGCATCTCCCACGAGTTCTTCATGTCTAACGCTATTAAAATTATTAAACCAAACGAAACGACTGAAACGTGTACTCGGTACTGAACTGAGCATGGCTGACTCAGTTCTGTCCCTACGCCTACTACTACTTAGTACTACTACTACTACTACTATATGAAACTAGGACTTAACCGGGTGAAGTTTTTGTTTTACAACGGTTCCGGGTATTTTTAGAATATACCTGGATGTCCAAGTGTTACTAAAAAAAAAATAACATAGACTTAGACAGAGAAGATACTGTCGTTCATTTTATAACAAAGACTTACGGTTACGACTTAAGAAACAATGTCGCAGAATAACGAAAATAACAAACCATTCCTTTACCAGGCTACTAAAACTAAAAGACTCACATGCCTAAAGTGAAAGGATGGCCCTTGACCCATTTCTATAGGGCGTACAGCGCCATTAAAAAGTGATATTTTTAAAAAAAATATTTTCTCAAGAATAAAAAAATCATCCTATTTACCAGAGTACAGTTGTTAAACATGAAGTTTGCTGTGTGACAGAGGGACGTGAACAATAACATCACCAAATAATAGTTGCCTCTCCCAAAAGAAAAAAAAATGAACCTATTTACGAGAGTTCAGATGTCACGCATGAAGCTCGGTGTGTGACAGCCTTTTTCTTTTTTTTCACTAAGTGCTATTGATATAAAACATGTGTAGTTGGAAGAGGGAGTGTTTTGAAGAGGAAGCATGATGCACCATAAGAAGCAAAATATTATTAAGTGATTTAAATATTTATAATTACAAACTACCAAGTCTAAACCTGAAGTCACTAATATTATTGCAATTGGCTAACCTTAACCCTGTTCTTCTTCTTATCTTTCATTATTGATTATCACTGACATTACAATTACAAAAAATTAATAATTAAATGAGACCTGCCTAAGTGTCCCAAAATTACCTATTACCGATAATTGACGTTTTTTAAAGTAAATGACTTGATGTACTTTGGACTTTGGAAATCCAGCACATTAGTCAATAATAATTCATTTTAAAACAAATTAACATAATTGAATAGCACCAACACTTATTTGTCATATGATCTGCTGCTTTTTAGAGAATTAATTGGGGAATGTGATTAACATTACAACTTAGACAATTAATTAAATAGAAAATTATAAAATTATAGTATTTTTATTATTATATATTACTCTATATTTATATATTATAAAATTATAGTATTATTATTATATATTTATATATGTGTGTGAGTCCCCTGTGACCCTAGCATAGCTAGCCTCATTCCAACTTATTATTGTAGGACCTATTACATATTTTTGTAATTATATTTTTTATAAATTAAAAAAAAAAACTAAATAAAAATTGTAAAAAAGATATTCTCTTACCTTTGATATTGAAATATCCTATATTCACTCACAAATCACAATATTTCACATGAAAAATATCATATAATCCTCAGTATTCTTAAAGAAATAACACACTTTCTGCCACAATAATCCAAGAATTACTTAAGGTATTACTAAAGAACAATCATAAAAACTTATACTTACCTCAAGTAAATTACTAGAACTTAATTTATTTTCAATCAACTGCCAAAGTTTATTCTATCAATACATGTTGATTTGTGAAACACCTTTACTAACTTAAAATAAATGACATACTATTTTTTGGTCATATTCAGACATTCATATGAAATGGGATTAAAATGCATATATAGAAAATGGTAAAATAAAAAGTGTAATTGTCAGTTTTAACTAAATGAAACAAATAATCCCTTTATTATTTGTGCATACTTATAAATGTTAAACAATTCCACAGAAAATTTGAAATTAATATCTTAAGAATATTTTTATTATTATGATTTTTGGGAAATTTTAAAAAAAATATTTAAACAAAATTAATTAATTAATTTCAAATAAGTGATGAGTCAGCATATTTAAAAAAAATTTAATGGGAAAATAATACATTTTTTTCCCCAAATTTTTGCGTCATATTAAAAAAACTATCTTATATTTTGTGGCTTTATTTAGAAGTACTCTTATTTAACTATGTTCCCTGCAAATATTATATTTTTGTCTCATTTTATAATAAAGTTATAGGTGTTTTAAAAAAGGCAAAATGAGGGTCACAAAATGTGGAGGAAAATCCCATAGTGAAAAAGTGGTTTTGAGGTCCCTACTAAAAAATTCATAACTTTTGAACCACTTGAGCTAGAAAGTTGATCTTGATGTTTTTGTAATCTATTCTCCAGGCTCTATACAGCTGTAGTATTTTTATATTTTTAAAAATGTTTTGAAATTTTAATCAAAGTCCCTACGCCTGCCTACAGTACGGTTCAAAATTTATATTAAATCATCTACATTTCTGGAAAGAAGTCTGAGAAGTGGGCCACCCATCTACTAAGACTGTCTGAGCCTAAGACAGAAGTGTGAAACTTGTTAAATGTAAATGTACTGCTGTTGGAAAATAATAGCTTCAAGAAAAATACATTTTTAAGGCCTCCTCAAAAGACTAAATTAACTTAAATTGTGTTTTAAATGGCATTGTCTTTGGAACTGTCACTCAATCTCTAAATTAGAAAATGAGAAAAAAACATAATCAGGGACAATCATAGTAATAGTATGGATGAAGCATGAAGTCCTTAGTATTTGCTTGGAAACGAAGCTTCTATAATAAAAGTATATTGAATATATCAATATATATATGGAAAGACAAGAAGGCACAGATCAGTAGTGGTTAAACCCTTAGCCATTATGCATATAATTTATCTTTATATGGATTAGAAATTAAGAATGAGATGTAACATTTTCACTTTAAAATTCTGTATAGATTTAAATAAAAACATAACATATATACTGTTGAAGTAGTTATAAACTGTTTTATTTTTTTCTTCTTAACTTTTATCAGTCACACTCAAAAGAGAAAAGAGTTTATAAAAGAGAAAAATGTTTATTCAAATCATTTGGTTTATAGTAGCATAATAAATGAATGAATGGTAATGAAAATTATGAAATATTTAATCCACATTGTAACTATTCTTTATTTCCTCATTAGAATGTCCTTGTCTCTAAAGAAAATTCTGACACTTGTATTTGTAAGAGAGCCTGGAAAAATTCTACTTGGAATGAAAAAAAGAGGTTTTGGTTGTGGCAGATGGAATGGTTTTGGTGGCAAAGTTGAAAAAGGAGAAACAATCTTACAAGGCGCTAAAAGGTACATTTATTCACTTCTTTGTGATTACATGTAAGTGAGTAAGCTGAGACAGATAGGCATCCCCTGACAAGTTTTACCAACATCATTATAATAACATATTAAAGTGGTTAACAAAAACATTGAGCTGGATGGTAGATTGGCTCAAGAGAGAGATTTGGCATACTGATACAAGTGGACATGGAGAGATGTAGGAATTAATTGCCAGTGCATCACCAATGGCTGACTGCCTATACCAGGTATCACTGACGCTTGTTAGATCTTGGCAATTACAAGTCTCCTGTATATGGCACGAGCCTGTGATACAAGTACAGAGTTGTGCACTAGATATGATAACATTAGCTGTCGTCTTTCCCCCCCCCCCAACCTTAGCATTAATTGAAACCTAGCTTAGGTACTCCATGTAACTGCTTGTTAGATCTTGGCAATTACAAGTCTCCTGTATATGGCATGAGCCTGTGATACAAGTACAGAGTTGTGCACTAGATATGATAACATTAGCTGTCGTCTTTCCCCTCCCCCCCAACCTTAGCATTAATTGAAACCTAGCTTAGGTACTCCATGTAACATCATTTTACCATTTTGTATTTATGGCACTGTTAAAATAAAGACATATACTAATTATTTCAATTTCAGAGAGCTTTTAGAAGAATGTGGAGTTTCAGCAAAACATTTGGAGTCAGTTGGTCTTATAAACTTTGAATTTGAAAATGAACCAGAAATACTTGAAGTTCATGTTTTTCAGGCTTCAAAGTACACTGGTGAGCCAATTGAAACAGAAGGTAAATAAAAGAACCAATCAGCTTTCTATCTTGTTTTGATAGTAATCATACATAAAGCATTAATCCAATCATGCTTAATATTCTAAAGCCAAATGTGAATTTTAAAATGAGGATTTCTCTTCCATTCATGTCAGAAATGAGACCACAGTGGTATAAAGAAAGCGAAATCCCTTTCCATCTGATGTGGCCTGATGATGAATTATGGTTTCCATATTTACTAAGTGGAAAACAATTTGAGGCTTTTTTCCTTTTTCGAGGAATGGATGTCGTTTTAGAATACTGGATCAAAGAAAAAGGTTTAAATTTGAATTCATTTTCTGACATAAATAAAAGATAATTAATCTATATCTAAGGTATTTTTTGTTCTGTTTTTGCATCTTCTCATACACTGTTGCATCCTGGTATCTTAACATAAAACTGTAACATCTAAGCATCTTTAAATAAAACTGTCACTTCCAAGCACCTTTCAATAAACTGCTACATCTAAACATCTTTACATAAAATATCACAACCTATCATCTTCACATAAAACTGTCACATCTTAGCATCTTCACACTAGAATGTCACATCCTAACATCCTCACTTAAAACTATCACATCCTAGCATCTTCACATAAAGTTCCCATATCCTAACATCTTCACATACAACTGTCACATCCTAGCATCTTCACATAAAGTTCCTGTATCCTAACATCTTCACATAAAGTTCCCTTATCCTAACATCTTCACATAAAACTATCCCATCCTAGCATCTTCACATAAAGTTCCCATATCCTAACATCTTCACATAAAGTTCCCTTATCCTAACATCTTCACATAAAACTGTCACATCCTGGCATATTCACATAAAGTTCCCATATCCTAACATCTTCACATAAAGTTCCTTTATCCTAACATCTTCACATAAAAATGTTAAATCCTGGCATATTCACATAAAACTGCACAATTTATGTATGTTAGCATCAACTGTCAAATCCTAGCCCTTGACATAAACTGCCACATCTAAGCATCTTCCTATAAAAATGTCACATTCTAGCATAGTCACATAAAAAATTCCCTACCTACCATCTTCTCTTAAACCATCACAGCCCAGCATCTTCACACAAAAATGTCACATTCTAGCATTTTCATATAAGAATTATTATATTCTAACATCTTTACATCATGTCATATCCTAGCAACTTCACATAAAACTGCCACATCTAAGTATCTTAGCATAAAAGTGTCAACTAGCACTTGACATTAAATGCCATATCCTAGCATCTTGCCATAAAAAATTACACACATTCTAGCATATTAACTATTAACAAAATCACACCCTAGCATCCTCACTAAAACTTTTACATCCCAGCTTCTTCACATAATAATGTCACATTCTAGCATCTTCAAGTAAAAAATGTCACATTCTAGCAACTTCACACAAAACTGCCACATTTAAGTATCTTATCATAAAAGTGTTGATTAGCACTTGACATATACTGCCACATCTAAGCATCTTTACATAGAGCTTTCACAACCTAGCATCTCCAAAAACTGTCACATCCTACCATCTTCACTAAAATTGTCACTGCATAGCACCTTCACATAAAAATATCACATTCTAGCATGCTCAAATAAAAATGACACATTGTAGTATCTTCACATTAAAGTTCATATTCTAGCATCTGCACTCAAACTGTCACACCCTAGCAATGTCACTCAAAACAGTCACAATTTCTAGCATCTTGACATAAAACCGTCACATCCCAGTATCCTCCATTACAACTGACGCCCGCTCACGTAGATCTGCCACACCCTGTCATAGCTGCTGAGTCGTAGCAATCCCATCTGTCCATGATCTGCCACACCCTGTCATAGCTGCTGAGTCGTAGCAATCCCATCTGTCCATGATCTGCCACACCCTGTCATAGCTGCTGAGTCGTAGCAATCCCATCTGTCCATGGATCCTATGACGTAATACAGGCTTGTGTTATAGCCAAACTAATTACTCAAAACAAACTCTGAAATGACACGATGATCTCATTCTTCCGACGGCTCGTGCTAAAATATCCTTCTTACCTCTAGCCTAACAACAAGATATTTCTATAGCAGACACGTAGTTTGATAATCGTGTTATGCTTCGATAAATACGTTTATATTACGTAGATATGTGTGTGTATTTTAAATACGGAATACCCCAAGACCACCATATCCATTTATACCATTAATAAGACAGTGGCAAATCGGCACCAATACAAAAAAGAGGGTGCATAATTTATTTTTTTTACAAATTACAACGTGATACTAAAATGTTCTTACTTTAGGGGCATCTTGAGGCATGGGCACACTGAAAGGTGGCCCCCACCATTTTAATGACCGCCACCCCCGTGACACCTTGATTTTTGTTCTAGAGAGATCTACACATACAGGAGAAAAGGGGGGGGGGCGCAGTTCATTACTTGGACAGGGCTTACAAAATGTTGTTTCAGCTTCACAAGAAAATGTTCATGAACCCATAGAATATCGACCTGCTCCACTAAATAAATGCATACGCATGGGCGCCCGCAGGTAGGGGCAACGGGGGGCACTTGCCCCCCCACCCTGGATTGATTGGATACATTTTTTTTAGACAAAAATAGACACAAAATTTATTAAAGTAAAGAGAAAATAAAGAGAAAGTAACTGAGCTGATGTCCTGTTCGTTCGTTCACCATACAAATACGCTACAGTAAATTAAAACTATATTAAAACATTACTAAAAAAATGTTGCCTCCCCCTGGAAAGATCCCCCCCCCCACCTAGAAAGTTTTCTGCGGGCGCCCATGTGCATACGCCAATATGAACAACATATCAGTTTTGTGTATGCACCAACAAAGTGACACACAAGAACCCTTATCTGGTACTAGGGCTTAACCGGGTGCATTTTTGTACACCGGGACCGGGTATTTGGAGAAAATATCCAGTGGGTATGTGTTAACAAAAAAAGTTAACTTCTCATTTTCGATAGTATATGCCAGCCTTTAAATAAGAGCCCTACAGACAGACCTACACAATAACTGCCAGCTTTTAAACAATAGGCCTACAGACAGACCTACACAATAACTGCCAGCTTTTAAACAATAGGCCGACAGATTGTCCTTCAGACAGTTCTACACCATATCCGGCTCTTTATATGATTAATATAATAGTCGTATCTGAAAATAATCAACCTTTTTACCTGAGTTAAACAGTCACGCACGACGCTCACTGATTGATAGCTTTTCTTTTCAACTCAATACTATTAATATAAAACAAGTTTGAGTTTGGGGGAGGGCCGGTTGTGAAATGAAAGCAGCCATACCAGAAGCGATATATATATATATCTATATTGAGAGATTGTGTATACTGTCACACAAGACCTCTAATTGGTGCTGTGCATGCAACAACAAAAGGACGCACAAGAATCCCTTTTTGGGTATTTTTTATACACCAACAAAAAGTCGTGCATGAGCTGATATCAATCTTGTGTGCACCTGCATAAGTACCTCCCCTCCATGTGCCCGTAACTCACCCACTGGGTGCGCCGCCAAAAAGAAATAATCATTAACCCTTATTAAACATGCTGGTACTTAATCTATTTAATGGATCTACTACATTCCCCCCCCCCCCTTCCCTTTTCCCACATTGTTGGTCTAACGTTAACAAGCAACAATTTTAGATTTGTTTTTTTAATGAAAAATCGTTCATTCTATTTTAGGAATGCCATGTCATTGTAAGTTATGCGTAAACTAGTTTAAAAATCAAAAGTATTATCAATTCAATTCCTGTAACTGTCTATAGCAGTGGCTCTCAACCTTCCTGATGCCGCAACCCTTTAAAAGATCTCCTCATGTTGTGGTGACCCCCAGCCACAAATTATTTTCGTTTTTGCTTCATAACCGTAGAGCATATTATGTGCTTTCAGTTGGTCTTAGACGACCCCTGGAAAAGGATCGTGCGGCCCCCAAAGGGGTTGCGACCCACAGGTTGAGAACCGCTGGTCTATAGAATTAATGGCTTAGAAGTCACTCCGCTGATTTTAAAGGTTGAAGCTAAATCTCGATAAGGAGTTTTTTTAGTGGCCACTTCTTGTCTGCAATGTAGTTTGTTTTTTGTTGTTTTTTTTTCTCTTTCTTTCTTGTGAAAAGTTCCAGACTATTGAAGTGGAATGAAACTAAAACGAAAGGGAACTTTGTGAAAACGCGCCAACAAGTGCTGGTGAAACGTGTCTTTATTCTGATCGAATCTTATTGAATAGGTAGATTAAGAAATAGCAGGCTTTACACCTGTGGGATTGAAAGACTTGAATCGTCACTTGGATTGATTGACGCATGGGTGAATTGATATCTTAAACGATCATTGCTTCGAAAGCCTAGCGCATGCCCCCCCCCAAAAAAAAAAATGGTGGGGAAGGGGGTTGTGGTTGCAGGTTAAATAAAAAGGAAATGTTTCCTGCAACTGGTTTTTATCTCTGCTTCTTATCTTTAGGTTTAAAGGACTGGGACATTGTTGAAGAGAATTATGGCTCCTCTGCCAAACTGTTACTTGGAGTAAACGCTAAAGCTAGATTTTTTTTTTCTGACAGTGTAAAAAGTCTGCTTTCGGAAAAGGTATGTGCTAATAGATAACAGAATTGATAGTAATTGTTATTATTATGTACGGAGGGTTGCGTCTTGTTTCATGCCTGGCCTATAACATGATTTATGTCTAGTTCTAAAAGAAAGAACGCTCCCAGTGCACTTGGTTCGTATTGTTTTTGTTTTTTTCATCATCAAATTTCCGGTATAGGTTAAAGACAACTTACCTTTAGGACATTCTTTTGGGATACGCAAATAAATGTATGTCATCAAAAACTGGAATGAAAGTTTATAGTTATCAGCTACCGCGATGACATAAGGCACGAATAAATTCGCAACAAGTAGTGGGATCCAGCTTATGGAAACAATAATTCTTCTGCACATAGTGATATTGTTTACCACAGCAGCATACAGCTAAACCCCAACACACTAGATACTACTAAGAGGTCGTCCATTAATTAGGTCAACAATTTTTACCCAATTTTTGACACCCCCCCCCCTGTCAACAATTGTCAAATTTTCGATGACCCCCTATTTAATTATGTCAACATTTATACCCAAAAAATAAAATTATAATATAAATAAATTTATAAATACATTTTACTTTGTGCTGAACTATTTAAATGACACACAAAATTGTAAGGAAAACATGTTATAACTTGTTGTTAGCTTGTCAATCAACAAGTCTGGGGACTATTATAAAGATTAAATAGGCGATATTAAGCTAGGGAAAGTGCATACCCTCAAGGGCACCACAACTGGAATAA